CCCCTCGCTCTGCTTCTTGGCTGCCTTTGCTGGATTCAGAGTTTAGCCACTTCTCTCCCCTATTGCAGTAGTCTTGAATAATGTCTCCTTTGCTATTTTTAAGAAGCGTCAGAATAATTTTTCTTGAACACTTGTCGACAAACTCCAGATATTTTTCATCTTCCAAAAATCTTAAATTAGTAAGACTGATGGAAGTGCTTGGCTAATTTGAATGGATGGCTTGAGGACCCATCACAAATTACCAAATTGTATGATTTGGACTGTCAGCTAACAACATGGAATGGGGTTTGCTTGAGTCTATTTTTGTCGGTGATGGAAACTAATAGAAATTGGCACCCTGCCCACATTGAGCTCTCCACTTCTGTGCTCTGTGTTTTTAGGTTGCTGTAAATATATTAAGTTGCATTTCTCCCCTGGGGTTTTAAATTCTGAGCATGGGATGGAAGCAAGAGCATGACGGCATCTCTGCAAGACCTTATCCTAATTCTCCCAGGCCAGTTTTAGACTATGTGGCTTTGTCACTACGGCCCACCCTATATAAGCCCTTCAGGGAACCACAGGTGTGGCAGGATACAGCTACACATGTATTGAAGAATTGAGACCACTGCCCCAAGGCTCACCATGTCAATAGAGGCCTGGCAGATTGTGCCCTAGGTGTCCCCAAGGGCCTCACTATGAATCTTGCAGGACGCGGTGACTGGAGGGCTGGTTTTTTCCCAGTTCATCATGGCTCATTTGGACCACAGTCTGCCTTGGAGGTCACATACAGCCACAGACCCACAGGTACAGAAAGCCTCCGCCCATAACCTCCATAGGGACTGTCTCTATCTATGACCAACTCAGATGCGCTCATTGGGAACAAGACCTTCTTGCTGCCTCCCTGGAACTGCCTCTCCTCCTAGCTGTCCTTGGCCTCATTTGGCATCTCATGTTTGGATGACAGCCTGGGGCATCAGCTCTGGAGAGGCAACCTTGCCTGGGCTTTGGGGAGATAAGGCCAGGGAAGGAGCAAAGAGAGACATTTCCCTGCTCTTCCTTCCTACTTCCTTTACACAAGAGATGCTGGCTAATTGCATCTTTATTGCCACTTCTCCCACATCAGGATCCCACAGTGTCACTTTCTGTTAATCATTCTGAATTAAAAAAAACCTTTTCTTTTATTAAAAAGATAATATTTCAATTACGAACTTAAACTTGTCTTATAACAATTAATCAAATGAAATTAAACGTTATCTCAATATGTTGCATGAAGAAACCAACATGTTCTGGGCCTTTCAGACACCACTATTAATAGACCTGGTGAAATGTACGTTTTACAGAGAAAATGTCGTGAGATACTTGATGGAGGCACGTAACCACATCTGTTACCAGAAAATGTAAAGACCGTAATATTGGAAATGCCTTCTTAATTTTGTAAAGATAATATGGGGCCATGTTTTCATTTGGGGGTTAACCTCTTTCACAATATTTATTGTGTGAGAATTTCCGATAAGCGAAGTACCTGTGGTAATTGTTTTTTTTTTCTTTTTTATGTGTGTTGAGATAACACAAAAATTGCATTTTGAAATTAAACTCCCATGAATCAGCAGTGTTTCCCAGGATGAAGCTTTATGAGTAATTTCGAGGATATACGTAATCACAAGGCGGAGGCCGCACAGGCAGAGGTCTGGGACCCTCTTCTGGGTCTCACTGTTCCTAGATATATGAAGTCCCTCAATAATACAGAGAGCTTTATTTCCACCCAGAAAAGGTGTATTTGGTCAGGAAACATATCTATTTTAACTCAGGTAGTCATACAATTTCTATGACATTTTCCAGGGAGCCATGCCCCATAAACCCCCAGTTTCTAGGTCCGTTTTCCAAAAGCAAGCCTAGTGAACCGGCTCCATCCTGCTAAAAGCAATCCGTGGGTAGATTCTCAAAGGACACAAATATCACTGATTTGTTTGCCAGAGTTCTGCCAATTACTATTTACAAGAAGATTTGACTATCCATCTACCTATCCATCTATCCCTCCATACATCTTCTCATCTTTTTATCAATCTATTTATCCATCCATGTATTTATATTTCTATCTCTCTTTTTTTTTAATTAATAGACTTAGAACAAGGGATAGAGTAGAAGCCTTCAAAAGCCCTGTTACCGTCTCAGGACTAATGAAAAGAACTTTCATTGGTATGAACGTAACTCTTTTTTTTTTTTTTCCCTTGTAATCAATAAAGCTTCTTGAGAGCATTTATATGGACAAGAAGTCAGTGTTTAACTAGTGAGCATGTCCCACCCTCACGTCTCAGTCTAGATGTGGAGGCATCTCCCCACCCATCTTACGGTTAGCTAGGAAGAGATCGTAGGCCCCCTGGGGTTGATTCAGTTTGCTCTGCCTCCAACCCAGCACAACTAAGTCCACACTGGCTGCCTGCCTTTTGTGACTTTTTCTGTCTGGCAGACGCGCACGGAGAGCAGGGCCCTCCCAGCCCAGCCTGCTTCTCCTGCTCCTGGTTTGAGAGTCCTCACCCGGGGGTGCCTCACTCTCCGTGCCTTGTGGCTGTCATTCGTTCAACATGCCTGCAAACATTCCTTTCTGCATAAGACACCTGAACAGGTGCGCAGGCCTCGGGGATGGGAGTGGCCAGGCCCAGGAGAACCATTGCCTGGGGGGACATCTCACTGTGTGTTGAAGGAGGTGGCGCTCAGAAGTGGGGTCAACGTCAGGGTCGGGGTAATGGTGAAGCAGCTTTGCGTCTCCTCCGAGCGGGAAGACCGTCCCTGTGGGGCTGCAGGTAAGCAGTTCTTGACTTCCCTGCAGGAAGATGTCCCAGCTCTGTGACACATCTTTCCAGAGCTCAAGGACACCCACTTTCTGAGATTCCATACCCGTGCAGTAGTTAAAGAAGTAGAACACACACAGCCGCTGAAATCCAGCTCACAGACATAGCTCTGAAGCTGATACCGCGAGGGGTCCCGGGCACACCTGTGTTCACGGAGCTGTGTCCTGTTAAACGGGATTCCTGGGGCCCCTTCCTCCTCCCTTGCTCGTCACATGCCAGTTCCATGAACTCCGTCATTTGCCCACAGCCTTGCTCACCCTGGTGTGTCTCTGTGCCTTTCAGCTATCAACCCTTCTGCCTAGAGGGTGCTTCCTCTCCTCCAGCTGAGGGGCTCATACCACATGGCAGCAACCCTGTGGCTTCCAGTAAACCCTGGGGCACCCCCTGCCCCCAGAAGAATGAGCATTGGATTAGCATTGGATAGCATTTGTCCAGTGAACAAGTGGATGATTTAATGACGGGGTCAACGGGATGGCAAAGGGATGAGCGGAGGGTACAAGGTGAGCAGCGGACAGATATGACCTAGGGGGTGTGATGTAGTTTTGGAATATATGTGAGTTTTGGGGGTTGAGGTCCAGAGCCGATGACCAAAAAAGAATTCTTGAGGCTTCTTTGTTGCCAAAAGGTGATTTTATTAAAGCACTGGGACAGGACCCTTGGGCGGAAAGAACTGCCCTGGGGTTGCGAGGAGTAATTGATTATATACTATGGCGTTGGGGGCAGTAAAGAAAAAGGGAGGTTTTCAAAAGAACTTTCATATGCTAAAGAGGACCTACAAGATATCAGAAGCCTTGCCATTGTCAAGTCAAGGTGGTTTTCCCCTCTCATAAAGCATTAGCATTAAGACAGTTGGGAACTTTCCTGGAAGAATGTCACACATACCCCTGGGGTGCGGGTGGGGTCGTTGCAGGGTGTCAGCTTGTGCTTTGTCCTCAGCTAGGCTTCTGCTCCCTCACCGGGTGAGGCTAAGCCCTGGGAGAAGCCGTCAGCAGGGAGCATACAGGAGCCTGAAGTTACAGGATTGCCTGGCAAATACGCAAAGGATCACCGGGCGACCAGGAAGACCACAGGGACACACGTGGCCTTCCTGAGTCACTGTCTTTCCAAAAAGCAATGAAGGTAGAGCCGTGAGGCTGTGTCAGCGCAGAAGGGCTCTGTGCGCTATGGGAAACGTCGATTGAATGGACAAGAGCGACCTTCTGACTCCTTGGAGCTGGGAATTTGGATGCAGCTTCTCCCAAACATCAGATAGGATATTTTTTTGAGCCTGAGTTTGTGGGGAGCTGTCTGCTTGGTTAAAAGAATTTATCACATGGGAGTAAGGTGATTTTCGTTTTCTTTATAATTTTTCTGAGTTTTGCGATATTTTTGACCATAAACATATTCACTTTTGTAATTAGGGAAAACAGTAGCACAATGAATCAACACCAAGTTTTTTAAGATAGCCTATGTCCATCTTGTGTCTGGGGGTTTTGGGGAGTGGCCTGCAGGCGGGAGAGGCCAGCCAGCCTGCTTCTGGAGGAGGTTTGCTTTTCAGGGAGATTGAGGTCAAATAAGTGGTAACCTTGTTGGCACCAAGACCCTCACCTGCCAACCCCCACTTTCTCAGCCCTGCAGGTAGCATCCCTGCCTTCCTCCTGCTGCACCCCTGCCCTCCTCCTGCTGCACCCCTGCCCTCCTCCTGCTGCACCCCTACCCTCCTCCTGCAGCACCCTGCCCTCCCCTGCAGCACGCTTACCCTCCTCCTGCTGCATCCCCACCCTCCTCCTGCAGCACCCCTGCCCTCTTTCTGCAGCAAGGCTGCACAAACACCTGCCCCCCAAGGGGAGGTGTTCTCTCTCCTGGTGAATTTTGCATATCAGTGAGACCACAGAAAAGTTCTTCCTTGCTATCTGTCTGCTCAGCCAACAGGGTCCCTGGATGAAGTGTGTGTAGCAGGAGTGAGGTCTGTGCACCAGCATAGATAGATAGAGCTGCGTTTAAGAGGAGGAGTGTGCCTCATTCCCTTCTCAGCTGTAACCCACCTGACCTCTGGGTGAAGCTCCGCGGCAGTGATGCACGGAGGTATGTGTGCACGTCAGGGCGCGCAGCAGAACTTGCATCACGGGCAGGAACAAAGACGGGCCAGTGGATTCGAAGAATGGGGCAGAGCAGAATAGTCTATTTACTCACCTTGGAAAATAGCAGGAATCCCTCAGATGGGCAGGACCAACATCCAGGATCTGGGGAGGGAGCCGTGGGGTGGACAGAGCAATGTGCAGACCCGGCCGAAGTGCATCCTTGTATTAATGTGCTAAGAAGCCAGCCCCGAGAGAGAGCCACCAGGCAGCTCGCCTGGAATCCTGAGTTCTGGGGCCGCATAGTTATATAAATGGAGAAGTGTGCTTGTCGTGTCTCCTATCTTTGAGTCTTCAGTCTCCTTTCACTCAACATATGCAATGTCTCTAGCGATCCTTCCACTCAGTTGTCATCTGAGTTACGGACCTATTGCACCCGGGGAATTCTGCAACAGATTTTGTGGTAGAGGTGCAAACCCACCTGGGATGCCAAGGGTCCCCGCCAGGGGTACTAGGACAGGCCCAGAAGTACCTGTGGAAGAGAAGAGACAGATCAAGATGGCAGCTCTTCTGCTGAGTAACCCTCGGCTTTGCAAATGCCTCTTTGCCCAGTGGCCCGGCCTCACGCAGCGCAGGCCTCAGTGGCTAAGCCGGCCAACTCAAATGTTCTTCCCTCCCGGTCAAGAACCATCTGGGGAGGACTCTGACCATGTGCTCTCCCCTGTAGGTCCCCCGGGACTTCTCTTCATGAACCACCTGCGTGGCAGACCAGGGTGGATCTGGATGCTGGCAGCCATGGCCTACGTGGCCAGGCTGGTGTCCTCCTTCCCGACCGGCTGGGCCTCAAGGCCCCCTCTCTGGTCAGGGGAATGGAATGTGAGACAATGAAAAACAAAGGAATTCTTTTCTTCCTCTTACCAAATTCTATTTTTTTAAAGATTTTATTTATTTATTTGAAAGAGTGATCAAGGGAGACCATGAGCAGGGGAGGGAGGGGGGAGAGCAGAGGGAGAGGGAGAGGCAGGCTTCCCGCAGAGCAGAGAGCCCGATGCGGGACTCGATCCCAGGACCCTGAGATCATGACCTGAGCTGAAGGCAGACGCTTAACCAACTGAGCCACCCAGGAGCCCTCCTCTTCCCCAATTCTTATCTTTATTTTCTTGGCCTACTTTAGAATATAAGTTACTTGAGGTTTTTGTTATTTTTCTCATTTCTTGGATACTACTGAGTTTATGTTTAAGGATATATTGGACATAGATTTTTGTTGGACTCTGATATTTAGGGTTATTTCGTATGGTTGCAAGTAGTTAGCAGGTAACCATGGTTTCAGCTTTGTGGTGAGTATGGATCAAGGGTGCTAATATTGGCTGAAAGTGGTGTGTGTGTGTGTGTGTGTGCGTTGTGTATCCCTGTGTGTGAATGTATCTCTGTGTGTGCGTATCTGTGCTGTGTTCTGGATTAGAGCCCCCGTGACCTGCGACAGTAAGCATTGTGCACTCTGCCGGTCTTGCTGATGGGACCAGGGGCTCCGTTCGAGGGGCCATATCACCTTCATCTTTGCCTCGCTCTCATCCCCCGTGTGCCCAACACATCTCCGGGCAAGTTCAGTGACGCATGAGGTCCTGGAAGTGTCCCTTTTGACCACCAGCTTCTCTCCCCTCTTAGCATCATTGCTTTCCACACAGCAGGGCATGCCTTTCCAGGTCCATCAACCAAACCGTCTCTCAGTCTTTGCTACAGGCTTCCCAGCTGATGTACCTTCTTCCTCTCCTGCATGCCCCACCCAAGCAAACCCCGTCGTGCTCACTCCACTCGTGCACAGCCCACCCGTGCATGACCCGCTCCTGCGCACCCCATTGTGCACGCCCCATCCTGCCTGCCCCATTGTGCGCACTGCCTGGGTGGTCACACCCAGCACCCTCAAGACCCTGCTTCCCTGCAAGATGCCAACTTGTTTCTAACACAAGTTTGATTCAATCCAGCGAGGCTAGTCTCTGAAGGAGTCCTGGCACTCACTCTTTCTGACTGCCATGGACTTAACGGATCTGTATAGAGAGCCAGCTGGTTGTTTTCTCTTTTCATTTTTGTCTTAGGATGTCACGGCCTTGAGGAGTTTACAGTCACCTGGCCTACTGCCCTCATGGTGTAGATGAAGCCGAGTCCTACTGATACCGTCCAGTTCCCACTGCCAGGCAGAGGGCGGTGTCTGCATCTGCCCTTCTTTCTACGAATGTTCTGCTTGCAGTGGTTTGTCTGTTGTTTGAGAGCAACCGCGGGGCCCCAAACAGGTGCCCAAGGAAGCTTGGGTGTCTGGCGATGGAAAATGGCAGCATGACAGGCTCGCTTGCAGAGTCCCCAGACCCAACAGTCCCTCTTCCCAGCAGTGAGCCATGCCCTTGAGTCCATGAGGAGGGAAAGCTAACTGCTGAAAAGTTGGACCCATAAAATCTACTTTAGATGATGCTCTCATGGTCCTTATATTTTGTGTATCCATTCATCCACTGACACCAGAGTTGTTTCCAACTTTTTGGCTATTATGTGCCTCTATGAACATTGGGGTACAAGATTTTGTTTGGACACCTGTGCTCAATTCTTTAGTGCATGTACCTAGGAGTGGAATTGCTATGCTAAATGAAAGAAACCAGACACACAAAAAAACATATATTGTATCTTTCCATTGATAAGAAACATCTAGATTATGCAAATCTATACATTCAGAAGGCAAATTCATGGTTGCCAGGGGACATGGGAGCGATTGATTGATGGGTATGGGGTTTCTGATTAGGGTGATGGGAAAAGATCTGGAAGCAGATAGTGGAAATGATCATACAACATTATGAATGTCAAGGCCACCGAAGTGTACAATTTAAATTTGTTAAATTTATGTGTATTGTACCACAAAAATCCCCTTAAGAAAATAGAGGTTTTTTTGGGGAGGGGGGATGAGTGTGTGTGTGTGTTTTAATGTACAGAATAAGTTGGTTGAGAATTGACAACAATCTATCAAGTATAGGTTTTGATGACTATACATAAATAGATGGAACTGTTGTAAACTGAAAACCATTGCTTTTGCTCAATGTGGGATATGGTTAGCCTTAGAAACCTTATCCTCATAATTCAATTTAAACCTGTTTCTGTTCCATGGAAATACACAGAAAGTAGGATTCAGTTCACATTAGAGTGGGTGCTTAATGAGTATGGTAAATAAGTGGAGGTTTATTGCATAGTTGATTTACACTCAATGTTACCTCACTTTTTCTTGTCTTTGATGTTGGGAAGATCAGGCAAAGAGAAACGAGCATGTTTGAATGATCAAGAAATAGATAAATTTTCACCAACAACAAGACAGAAGAAAGAGAAGTTAAGGAGTCGATCCCATTTACAATTGCACCCAAAACCATAAGATACCTAGGAATAAATCTAACCAAAGAGACAAAGGATCTGTACTCAGAAAACTATAAAATACTCATGAAAAAAATTGAGGAAGACACAAAGAAATGGAAAAACGTTCTATGCTCATGGATTGGAAGAACAAATATTGTGAAGATGTCAATGCTACCTAGAGCAATCTACACATTCAATGCAATCCCCCTCAGAATACCATCCACTTTTTTCAAAGAAATGGAACAAATAATCCTAAAATTTGTATGGAACCAGAAAAGACCCCGCATAGCCAGAGGAATGTTGAAAAAGAAAGCAAAGCTGGCGGCATCACAGTTCCGGACTTCCAGCTCTATTACAAAGCTGTCATCATCAAGACAGTAAGGTACTGGCACAAAAACAAACACATAGATCAGTGGAACAGAATAGGGAGCCCAGAAATGGACCCTCAACTCTATGGTCAACTAATCTTCGACAAAGCAGGAAAGAATGTCCAATGGAAAAAAGACAGTCTCTTCAACAAATGGTGTTGGGAAAATTGGATAACCACATGCAGAAGAATGAAACTGGACCCTTTCCTTACACCACACACAAAAATAGACTCCAAATGGTTGAAAGACCTCAATGTGAGACAGGAGTCCATCAAAATCCTAAAGGAGAACACAGGCAGCAACCTCTTTGACCTCAGCCGAAGCAACTTCTTCCTAGAAACATCGCCAAAGGCAAGGGAATCAAGGGCAAAAATGAACTATTGGGACTTCATCAAGATAAAAAGCTTTTGCAAAGCAAAGGAAACAGTCAACAAAACCAAAAGACAACCAACAGAATGGGAGAAGATATCTGCAAATGACATATCAGATAAAGGGCTAGTATCCAAAATCTATAAAGAACTCATCAAACTCAACACCCAAAGAACAAAGAATCCAATCAAGAAATGCCAGAAGACATGAACAGACATTTTTCCAAAGAAGACATCCAAATGGCCAACAGACACATGAAAAAGTGCTCAATATCGCTCGGCATCAGGGAAATCCAAATCAAAACCTCAATGAGATACCACCTCACACCAGTCAGAATGGCTAAAATTAACAAGTCAGAAAACGACAGATGTTGGCGGGGATGCAGAGAAAGGGGAACCCTCCTACACTGTTGGTGGGAATGCAAGCTGGTGCAGCCACTCTGGAAAACAGTATGGAGGTTCCTCAAAAAGTTGAAAATAGAGCTACCATATGATCCAGCAATTGCACTACTGGGTATTTACCCCAAAGATACAAAAGTAGGGATCCGAAAGGGTACATGCACCCTGATGTTTATAGCAGCAATGTCCACAATAGCCAAACTGTGGAAAGAGCCAAGATGTCCATCGACAGATGAATGGATGAAGAAGATGTGGTATATATATACAATGGAATATTATGCAGCCATCAAAAGGAATGAGATCTTGCCATTTGCAACGACGTGGATGGAACTGGAGGGTATTATGTTGAGTGAAATAAGTCAAACAGAGAAAGACATGTATCATATGATCTCACTGATATGAGGAATTCTTAATCGCAGGAAACAAACTGAGAGTTGCTGGAGTGGGGGGTGGGGTGGGAGGAATGGGGTGACTGGGTGATAGACACTGGGGAGGGTATGTGCTCTGGTAAGCGCTGTGAATTGTGCAAGACTGTTGACTCTCAGATCTGTACCTCTGAAACAAATAATGCAATATATGTTAAGAAAAAAAAAAAAGAAGAAGGTGGCGGGAGGGGAAGAATGAAGCAGGGGAAATTGGAGGGGTAGACGAACCATGAGAGACGATGGACTCTGAAAAACAAACTGAGGGTTCTAGAGGGGAGGGGGGTGGGAGGATGGGTTGGCCTGGTGGTGGGTATTGAGGAGGGCACGTTCTGCATGGAGCACTGGGTGTTGTGCACAAACAATGAATCATGGAACACTACATCTAAAACTAATGATGTAATGTATGGGGATTAACATAAGAAGAAAAAAAAAAGAATTAAAAAAAAAGAACATAAAAGATAAAACTTTTAAATTCTGACAAAAATCAAAAAAAAAAAAGAAATAGATAAATTTCAAAAACGCTGCCATGCTTTTATCATTCCTCTTGCAAAAAAAAAAAAAAAAAAAAAGGAAAATGATGTTTTGTTT